CCAGATTTATAGTTTTGGTTGATTTATTTTACAGTCCAATCCTGTTCTTGAAGCTTTTGGCAATGCAAAAACTGTCAGGAATAACAACTCCAGGTGAATGTTTATTAACTGTGGGTTGTTCTAATTCAAATTAAATTTGTTGTTCAAAGTCTCTGTTTTAATTGTGATTGACTGGTCTTTCACATCTGTGGAACTGCATTGCATGTGATTTTAATATATTTACCTTCAACATATTGCAAACTTCATTAAGTATCTTGTTCGTATACATTTAAGCTCATCTGTTTTTTTTTCATCTTTTTTTGTGCATCTTGGAATCACAATGTAGTCGATTTGGTAAATTCGTTGAGATTCAATTCGACAAGAATGGGAGAATATCTGGGGCTGCTGTACGAACTTATTTGCTCGAAAGATCTCGTGTTTGCCAAATTTCTGATCCTGAAAGAAACTACCACTGTTTTTACCTTCTCTGTGCAGCTCCACCTGAGGTATATATGGCATTATGCTATATTCCTAAACTGAAATCTGCTGTATCCTGTCATCATGCGTGTTCTGTACAATATGAGTTAACCTTTTCAGTTGGAACTAATAATTAATAATGGGCGTCCGAACTTTTCAGGTTAGAGAAAAGTACAAGTTGGAAAGCCCTAGATCCTTTCATTACTTGAACCAATCTAACTGCTATGAGCTTGATGGAGTTGATGATACCCAGGAATATCTTGCAACCAGAAGAGCCATGGATATTGTTGGAATTAGTGAGGAAGAGCAGGTGAGTCTTCTCTTTTTTAAGTTTCAAGATGTAATCAGTTTTTCTGTTGCATGCAGGTTTCTGATAACAAGTAATTCTTTTCAGGATGCAATTTTTAGAGTTGTTGCTGCAATTTTGCATCTTGGTAATGTTGACTTTGCAAAGGGAGAGGAAGTTGACTCTTCTGTCATCAAGGATGAGAAATCTAGGTTCCATCTTAGCATGACAGCTGAACTTCTTAAGTATGTTCCATTTACTTAGATTTGGATAAATTTCTGTTTTGTTTCTATGTATTATTGGATCCTCTGCCAGGATATTCCTCTTCTGATTTATGACCTATTTTATATCACAGGTGTGATGCCAAGAGCTTGGAAGCTGCATTAATAAAGCGTGTAATGGTGACACCAGAAGAGGTTATTACAAGAACTCTTGATCCTGTTGCTGCATTGGGTAGCAGGGATGCCTTGGCGAAAACCATTTATTCTCGCTTGTTTGATTGGTAAAGGAACTTGCCTAGTCCTATACCTTGTTTGTACACATGTTTGTGCCTTCTAAATTCATTAACCTAATAGAATAACAGATTATTTTGTCAAGAAAGAATGTTGTTTCATCTTATAGTCATATGATTCATGCTTATTTGCTATTTGTATTTATGCTATATATGCCAAATCAGTATTTGAAAATTGTAAAAGATGTTTCTTTGTTAATCAGGCTTGTGGATAAAATTAACTCATCGATTGGGCAAGATCCTAACTCAAAACAATTGATTGGTGTTCTTGATATTTATGGGTTCGAGAGTTTTAAGTTCAATAGGTAAGTGATTAGCTTTAAGATATAATTTTTAGTGATGTTTTAGTATTTTGGCTGACAAAACTTCCAAAATTTTTAGTTTTGAGCAGTTCTGTATAAATTTCACAAATGAAAAGCTGCAACAGCACTTCAATCAGGTTTGATAAGTTTTGGCTTCGCTTCGGTGTTATCTGTTTTTTGGGGCCTCACCTCATTCAGGCATATTGTGATTGTACTTTTGCAGCATGTCTTTAAAATGGAACAAGAAGAGTACACAAAAGAAGAAATCAATTGGAGCTACATAGAATTTGTTGATAACCAGGATGTTTTGGATCTAATTGAAAAGGTCTTCTATTTTTGCCTGCTGTAGTATTGTTAATTTTAAACTTCTTCCTAGAAAAGTTCTTTTTATATTAAGGTTAGTAAATCTAGTGTTCATAATACACCATTCCATACACTTAAGTAATTCATTCAATATTTTCCAGAAACCAGGAGGAATTATAGCACTCCTTGATGAAGCCTGGTAAGCAGCTAGTTTTTAGTTCTGCTTGTTATATTTGCTTTTTTCCAACTACTACATAGTGAAATTTCTTTATATTGCTACTTGTCATTCTTCATGAACAATTACTTTATTTTGAGCTTATGGTTCTTCTAACCACTGTATGTAGTATGTTTCCCAAATCCACACATGAAACGTTTGCTCAGAAATTGTACCAGACATTCAAAAATAATAAACGGTTCATCAAGCCTAAGCTTTCTCGTACCAATTTTACCATATCCCATTATGCAGGGGAGGTAGACTCGTTTTTCTTTTCTTTTCTTTTCTTTTTCTCCTTTTTGTTCAAGTAAAACAGATATCATTGATTTTCAATTGATACATTCATTTTTCCTTTGCTTTTCTGAAGGTAGTTTATCAAGCTGATTTGTTCCTAGACAAGAACAAAGACTATGTTGTGGCAGAGCATCAAGATTTGTTGACAGCTTCAAAGTGTCCCTTTGTGGTGGCTCTGTTTCCCCCACTACCAGTGGAATCATCAAAATCATCCAAATTTTCTTCCATTGGGTCACGCTTTAAGGTATGGAGGTTCTAGTTGATCTCGCCTTGTAAGGGATGAACAACCTTCAAATTAGAACCATCTAAATTGCTATTCTCTACTTGAGCTAATAATCCATTTCTTGGAGCAAAATTCTATGGTCAATCTTGCATTATTAAAATGCAGAGTCCTAAGTAATACACGAGTTAGCATGAAAGTGGTGCAAGTGTTTCCATGTGAGAAATCTGGCAAATCGGTCTGCAGCTAGAAGATGTTGTATAGAATTTTAGATAGCAGGAAATGGTCAATCAAAGGAAACTTTGACCCCATTTGGCTCTTCAAACTACGATGTATTCTTAAAGATACACCTCAGAAAAAGGGAATAGAAGTACTTGGATCAGATTATATGTTATACTTGATATGCTCTTTTTGAAAAATATTTTTTCTTAAATTGAATGCCAAATTTTTGTTTGTCTTGTAGGGTGTGATGGGTGCCATAGATGTCGTAATTCACCCAAGCACATCGTTGAAACTAATTTTCAGCTCATAACATGCGTGTAAGAGAGACACATCCCTCAAATGTGAATAAAACATCATCAATAATCTTAACTGATAACATTCCTTTAATTTTGTGACAACATTTATATACCTTTGTTTATCTAACTTATTCTTTTAGTATCCTGATCAACTCTAGAAATAGAGTTCACATCAATGGATTAAATGAAATTGGGACTCAGTAAATTCACTTGTTACGTGCTGAGCTGTAATTTTCTTTCATCAACCATGATCTATGAGTTTGTTACTCACTGATCTTCTAAAGCGTCGCCATAATTGGTAGTAACCCTTTTCTTAAACAATGATATTCCCCACTTGATTAATGTGCCCTAAAGCTGATAATCTCATGTATCCTTCATACGGAGAGCAAGTTTATAGCTCTCCTACTTGGTTTTAGCCTTGTTGGTTGCATTGATGGCAAGCATTCATGTTCATTTCCCATCATTGTGATAGAATTATATTTTATGTTCTGTTACTTCTGTAACAATTTCAGGTTTTACTTTGAAAAAGGAGTTCCACATCAAGATGGACTATGTCTTGTATCTCTTGTATAAATACACATCATGAATGAAATTAATACTTACTGAGAAGTTATTGTGGAAATTTATGTAGTATTAGAGTTTCTTCCTTGAAAAATGAGTTCCAACCCTGATACTATATTTTTGCTTTCCTATCCTCTGTTCCCTCTAAGAATTCTCACCCTTCCTTTTGCATTTCCAACATAAGAAATTATGTCAATGAATCACTAACTTCCTCATATGGAAATCTTATTTCCTTCCCGTCTCTAAAGGTTACAGTGTGCTTGACCTCATTGATGGCACAGACATTTGTCCTCCTTTAATGAATGTGGATGAAGCAAGCAATGAATAACCTAATATGGATGCCTTTATTTGGAAGCAAGTGGATTTCTACGTTCTCTCTTGGATTCAGGTCACTGTTTCTTCTGATATCTTACCTAGTATCCTCAAAACCAACAAGATCTTAGCCAGTTAGGCATAGCAAGAGATTGCAAAACCTTTTTATGTCAAGCTCATCTTTGACTGCTCAATTTGAAATCTCAGTTCTATTGTATTCGAAAAAATGATCTCTCTGTAGATGCTTACTTCCAAAGACTTAAAAAGCTTATACGATTCTCTTATCTCCATAGATCATGATCTATCAAAAGAGGATCTTGAGCTCTAAATCTTTGAAGGCTTACCTATTGACTACAAAGACATGGTCCTTAGTCTAAGTTAGCACAAACCTCTCTCATCATTTATTGAAGTATGCATTGCTCTTTATTTGCAAGAAACACATATGGCAAACACCAAAAACCAACTAGTACAGCTGATTCATCAACTTTATTTTATACTTCCTCCATCTTTTCACCACAAAACAATATCAAATCTTCCTCCTCACCGAACCATAACAACTAAAGTTTCTGAAATGGTTGAGGACGTGGAAAAGGCTACCAAAACAATTCCCCTAGAGGCTACAGTCCATGCTTTCAAAAACGTAATACTCAATCCAGATGCCTTTCTCTGGAAACAGGTGGATTCCTTGTTCTCTCTTGGATCAGGTCACTGTTTCTTCTAATATCATACCTAGTCTCTTCAAAACCAACAAGATTTTAGCCTGTTAAGCGTAGCAAGAGATTGAAAAACGTTTTCATGATCAAGCACATATTTGAATGCTCAATCTGAAATCTCAGTCTATGATATCCAAAAATGATCTTTTTTCTAGATGCCTACCTTCAAAAATTTAAAAGTTCATATGGTTCTCTTATCGCCATAGGTCATGATATATCAAAAGAGGTTCTTGAGCTCTAAATCCTTGAAGGTTTATTTTTTGACTACAAAGGCATGGTCATTAGTTTAAGTTTGCACAAACCTCCCTCATCATTTGCTGAACTATGGACTGCTCTTTATTTGCAAGAAACATATCTACCAAACACCAAAAAAACCAACTACATATACTTCCTCCACCTTTTCACCACAAAACAATATCATCAAGTATTACTCCCAACCAAACCATAACAACTAAATTTTTTTAAAAGTTCAAGGACGTGGAAAAGTCCACTAAAATTATTCTCCTAGAGGCTGCAATTCATGCACTTAAAACTGATACTCAATCTGGTGCCTTTCTCTGTAAACAGGTGGATTCCTTAGTTCTCTCTTGGATTTATATCACTGTTTCTTGTGATATTGTACCTAGTCTCTTCAAAACCAACAAGACCTTAGCCTGTTAAGCATAGCAAGAGATGAAGAACTTCTTGAAATAGAATGGATTATTTTATGGATTATATTTTTAGAACAATGTTGTATTTTCTGTCATGTGGTTGGATGCACCTGAGTCAATGATTCAAGTATCTTGATTTCTTGAAATAGCATTAAGAGCACCAAAGCAATTATCTTTTTGAGTTGTTTTCCTCAATCCTATGGTGTTAGTAATGGAGTTTTGGTGTATGAACATTTTTGTAAAGCTTCTATATGCTCTCTACTAAATAAGAATGATTTCCTAATGGAGACAGTTTTATTAATAGAGACATAATTTTTCTTACTTTTTTTTGTTTGTAACGATTTTGTGACCTTTAAATTAGTTGGTTTTTCATGAATTTTTCAGCAATTGTCTCGAATATGATATGATTTTCTATAATGGTCACATCAAGACCTTCCTTTTTTTTACGGATTGTTTGATTTGGGATGAGTGCCTGGACAGTCAGAGCAGAATTGTGCTCAATGTTAGGGCTTGTGAATCCATCTCCCAACATTACAGTTTTTCAGCTTTTTTCTCACCTTACTTTGGAAAATACCTTACGAATATTGAGTAATGATTTCATTTCGAGTATTCTTCTCCATATTTCATCTATATTTTTTATTAAATCATATGAGAAATTTGAAAATTCTTTTTCATTCCAAAATTTTTCTGTATCATTAAGATCATTTGGACAATTCCGACAAGTTCTTCAAACACATCGAGTCGTTGCAAGTGAACGCGTGAGCACACTGTAGTTCTAGGTTATGAATAGATCTACTTGTCACAGGTCATGGAGGTTAGATTCAATGACAAAAATTTATGATGTGTTTTCTTTGCTCAAATAGAATTCTTTAGCTGTTGTTCAAATTTCATGTGTTGTCCCGTACAACTAGAAATTATCATTGATATCACTTGTGCATGGAATTAGTCAACCACGACATGATCAGATTATTATCAGTGTAAAAGTTTGGAACTTTGGATTTTTGGCACTCGGTTTGGTGACTTTTCTAGTGAGTTACTCTTATCTCCCTTTTCAGTGGATAAACATCTTGACCGATTGAGACCATTGAATGCAGTTGCTTTCGCATAGCTTGTGGATGGTGATGGAGATTTGAGTGTCTTTCTATTTGGGTTGTTTGATAGAAATAATTCCATTAGACCAAGATGTGACTTTAGAGAGGTCAATGGTTCTTGTCGTGACGATCTCATATTTGGTCAACAATGAGAGAGAAAAAAAAAAGGTTTTTTAGGGTTTAGAAATCATACTCTGATGTTATGTAAATTTATAATTTTCTATTTTCAGAATTTTTAATCATGATATTTAATTTACAACAGATGGATATATATATAGAAAAAAATTAAAGAGAGTTTTAGTAGAAAATTAAGTACAAATAAGTAAAATAAAGGGTAATGAAGTTCCAGTTATGGAAGTCGACTATGATTCTGTTTTATATGGAGATTTTTTCAAAAGTACCAATCTGTATAGGAATTGAAATTCTAGAAGAAGTCAGATTTTTACAAACTCAATGAAGGTAAAACTTGCAATTCATCATCAATTCCTATCTTCATGGTGCCTTACTGATTTATTAAATTCTAGTTACTCAGATGTTCTACTATAGATCGCTCTTCTTTAAGCTTCAAGTTTACTGACCTCCTGATTTTAGAGGCTTTATTTTGGGAGTTCTTTCTCTTATACATGTTTTATAGGTTTTTCCATAATACATGAGTATCAACTTCATTGCTAATATGAGGATAAATATTGTACTCAACCCATTACCTAATATTTACTTTTTGTGCAATTTTTCCCAATCATTATCAAGTTTCCATTGGGTTTATTTTTTTCTTAATTATCAAATAAATTTTTATAGTACAAAATAATTTTCTATCATTAATTTTCAAATTGAATAATTTATATCCGATAATTTAATCATTAATCCTACCAAATTATCCATTTTATTTTATAAAATTAATTTCACGTCTCACACAATCAGATTCTGATACCACTTATTGCGCTTTGAATAACATTAATTGTATAAAAATTGATCCTACTGAATTATTCATCTGATACTGTATACAACAGTTGGTTCCTTGTTCTATTTCTTGGGTGTCAAAGTCATTTATAAGAAAGAAGACAATTTTCTATATCAATGCACGTATACTTAGGAATTATTCCAGGGAAGTGACCTTAAATTGCAAAGCATCTCCACACCAAAGTTCCTCTTGTCTATGATCCTACTCTTTATCACAGCATAGTAGAGGCATTGCATTACTTTACCTTTCCTCACCCAGAACTTTGTTTTGCTGTCAATTAAGAATGCCAGCATATGCATGATCCTCAACAGTATTTTCAAGCAGGTAAACATATTCTTAGATATGTTCGAGGTACTATCAATCATGGGCTTCGGTTGTACTCTTAATTTTTTCATCTGCTCATTGGCTACTTTGATGCTAATTGGGTGGAGAGAGATACTAAATTTTTTTGGATCCAACTTCATCTCATGGAATGCCAAGAAATAATCTACTGCTGAAGTGGACTATCATGTAGTCTCCTCTATAGTGGCTGATTTAATGTGGATCCAGAATTGTTTGCTTCATGAACTACATGTTACCTTGGAGGCTAAGCCTAGTTGTTGGTGTGACAATTAAGTGCTATTACACTGCTGCTAATCCAGTTCAATGCATCAGTTATGAACACGTTGATATGTATATGCACTTTGTCCATGAAAAAAATTCAATTCAGACAACTTCAGGTTCAAAAAATTTTGAGTCAAGAATAACTGGCTGACATCTGCACCATAGGTCTTACCTTCAAATGTTTTTACTTATTAAGGGCCAATCTTATCAGGCTTCCACCTCAGATTGAGGGGGGATGATAAAATATCTTTATGTTATGTCAATTTTGTAATGGTCTCCAGATTTTATTTTTGAAAGGAATTCCACCCCAAGATGAACTCTCCCTTTTATCTCTTGGATAAATACACATAAGTGAAATATAAAGGAATAAATATCTTTAGGATCTTCCTTTTTGGCATCAGCAAATTGCCAAATATATTTTTTCAGATTATATCTCAAGACTTTCAATGCTGACTGCATACTTTAGAAAAAGATATAATAAGCTTATGCTTTGTTCACCTTTTAAGCATGGTGGGTTTTGTGCATGATGGGGCATGGAAAAGTACGTATATAACTAAAAATCTGTGCTATTATTGTAAGTTTTTAGATATTAGTCACTCAAATCTATTATTTTATTGTGATGTTTCATACTGCGAATCAAACTTTAGTAAGCAGGATGATCTATGAAATGCACTGGAAATTGAAACTTCCAGGGATATTTTCTTTCTAACCAAGAGAGATATGTTCTCAAACTGCAGCTCCAACTCCAATCCTTGATGGAGACTTTGAATTCAACAGAGCCTCACTACATCAGATGTGTGAAGCCAAACAATCTTCTCAAGCCTGCAATATTTGAGAATGCAAATATAATTCAGCAACTGCGATGTGGTGTGAGTATGATCCAACTGTTCTTTATCTGTGAATATTTCATGTTTCTTAGCAAACTTTCCAAAACATACTCGTGCTATGAAATTCTGCCGATGATGCTATTTTCTTTTATTTAGGGTGTCCTTGAGGCAATCAGGATTAGCTGTGCGGGATATCCTACAAGGAGAACATTCTATGAATTCCTTAATCGCTTTGGTCTTCTTGCTCCTGAAGTCCTGGAAGGAAAGTAAGTCTTTATTTCAAATGTGTTTAACTTGTTATAACTCGTGATTGGGGTGAAAATATGCTGTTATAACTAGTAATTTTGCCGTTCATATTATGCTGTTATAACTAGTAGTCTTCTTGTTCATATGATTTGTACATCTTTTTACTTCCCTTCTGGTTTATCCATAGCATGTGATTAACTGATGAAATTAATACTTCCTTGACAGCTATGATGACAAGGTCGCATGCCAAATGATTCTGGACAAAAGAGGATTGAAAGGTTATCAGGTGATTTAATTATCTCCTTTAACTCGTATTCATGGTGAGTAATAGGTTATAGCTTAACTACCCAAACCCTTCAGTTGTGCAGGATGGATTAAGAGAGAACAAACTGTATTTTTAGGTGGTATTTGATTTATTTACATGTTCTTCTGATGCTTGAGTTTCATATGATTTTGGTTACCCTGAGCATCATATACTGCCACAAGCTAGTGGGTATGCTTGAACTGAATGGTATAGTTGCACCAGGAGGGGTGAGTTCATTTATATTCCTTTCTTAGCTATGAAGCTCACTGAGAACACTCGATCTCCTGCATTTCTTGATTGGTAAAAAAATGCTTTAAAATATGGGGAGAAAACTGTGCATAGCAAAATGTCAAGGTGTTCAAAAGTGAGAGTGACTGAGAAACTTCTTGAACTTAAAATATGAAGTCTTGCTACCCATTACGGTTAACTAGCTGTTCAATATGATGCAAGTAAAGACCAATTGACGGACATTTTACACCCAGGGTTGGTTTGCTTATCTTTGGTCCAACAGAAGCTTTATACCTCAGGCAACTTTCCTATTCTTTGTAATGCATGGACTTTTCACCAATGATATGTATATATATGTATAGCACACCTTCCATAATAAACTCACCCGAGAGAAGTTAGTTGTATAACACAATTCTTTCTAAGTATTCTAGTTTCTAAAACTCTAGATAATTGGAAGTAATGATGCATATAATTTGACTAGGTCTGAGGAGATCTGATATAGATTTTGTTCGACATGGCTGTCTTGGCAGATTGGAAAATCCAAAGTCTTCCTTAGAGCAGGTCAGATGGCTGAACTGGACACCAGAAGAGCAGAAGTGCTTGGAAATGCAGCTAGGGCAATTCAAAGACAAATTCGTACTTATATTGCACGCAAAGAGTTTGTTGAACTACGCAAAGCTACTATTCTATTGCAGTCTCGTTGGCGAGGTATCTCTTTGAGCTATTCCTGAAATCACACCTATTTATTAATGGTTGCATCATCATGGTGGATCATCATGGTGGATTATGGTCATGAAATTACAGGTTTACCAAGTGTTAAACAGTACAGATTGTTAAACTGCTGATTTTTTCATTTATCAAATTTTAAGAACAATGTTCTACATCATCACTTGATCAAATTGAAGAATATAAATATCTTGGTGCATGTTTATCATGTTCATTTATGCCATTATGGTGTCATTTATCCTATTGAGAAAATCTTGAATTTATTTTACTTCTGTCCTATTTGATTATGAAAAGGTAAACTAGCTTGCAAACTTTATGAGGAAATGCGTCGGGAGGCAGCAGCTGTGAAGATCCAGAAGATTTTCCGGCAATATATTGCCAGGAAGTCCTACACTGCTGTTCTATTATCTGCAATTACATTACAGACTGGTTTGAGGGCAATGACGGCCCGTAATGAATTCAGATTCAGAAAGCAAACAAGAGCTGCTATCATCATTCAGGTCCTACTGCCACACCTGCTCTGATCATTTTGTTTCAGTTCTTGTGGGATTTTCAAGTGGTTTCTACGATGCAGTAGCATTGAACTAATTTCATTTTCCAAAACTTGTTTGAACTAATTCCATTTTTCTAAAACTTGTTTGAGAGGATTAAGTAACTGATTTCCTATGTTAAATTTTCAGGCCCGTTTACGTTGCCATATCGAGTATTCTTATTATAGAAATCTTCAAAGGGCTGCAATAGTTTCTCAATGTGGTTGGAGGAGAAGGATTGCTAGAAGAGAGCTCAGAAAGCTCAAGATGGTTTGATCACATTCCTATGTCCTGTTTATTCTCTTAAGAAATTTGTAGTGCTTGTTATTATTGTCAGTTCAGGTTATGACCATTATCATAAATTTCTGTAGGCTGCACGAGAAACAGGGGCCCTCAAAGAGGCAAAAGACAAACTGGAAAAGCGTGTAGAGGAGCTTACATGGCGTTTACAGTTAGAGAAGCGTTTGAGGGTAAGTTATTCTGCTTTATAGCCTACTTTTTAAACTTCATAACCTTTAAAAGGTACAAGGGCTGTCTTCTGCGGCAATTTCAAATCTTTTCACTTTACTGCAGACTGATCTAGAAGAGGAAAAGGCCCAGGAAATTTCAAAATTACAGGAGGCTGTTCATGCATTGCAAGTACAAGTAGAAGAAGCAAATGCTGCAGTCATTAAGGAACGAGAAGCAGCTAGGAAAGCTATTGAAGAAGCACCTCCAGTCATCAAGGAGACCCCTGTAATAGTTCAAGACACAGAAAAGATTGATTCATTGACCGCTGAGGTAGAGAGTTTGAAGGTGGGTGGCCTAACTTGGATGATCTTGTTATCTTTATTTATGTCTGAGTTCTTTGAATGGAGTCACATGGAAATAAGTTGAAGGAAATGCATTGGCTTTAACCAAAATGTTTGGTAGATTTTAATAAGCCAAAATATTGAATTGTGTTCATGTCTTGTTACTGCCTGCAGTGAGTGCTGCGATCGAGATGGATATTAGTGATTACTGAATAAACTCAAGGACAATGATACAGATTTATGTATTTGTAGTGTCTTTGCTTGAAACTCCATGCCAAAACATGCTTGGGAGTTTGGCAAGCTTTCAAGTTTTTATTCCTCAATGATGTCTTGGCTTAAATTAATTACAGTCCATGTGTTCTTTTTTTTCCCCAAAGGAAGATTTAACTATCCCTATGTATCATCATTTATCCGTAGACTAGTTTAACGAGTGAAACCTATTATTCCTTATTGAACAAATATGAAGCAATATTTGAAGGTTATTGTATTAATTATATGAATGTGCTCTTAATGGTGTTATAAGGTATATTAGGATATAGAATTCTAATACTATAAAACATTAGGTTGTCGAACCTTAATAGTACAAAATATATAACAATAATAATATACACAAATCATAATGTGGATTAAATATAAGATTTATTTCTCCCTTTAGTTATGCTGCAGGTAGCATGTTATGTAGATGGGTCTAGACTCTTGAGATTTCACCTTGGAATTTGCTTGTAGGCCTCAATTCCGCAATGGGTCTTCCTTTTTGGAAAAAAAAATTCTAATATCTTATGGGATCTGCTATTGATAAGAATATAATTGTTGAGCTCTATAAAATGGCTCAACTCATATGTTACAAATAATTTGACTTTGAGATTTTAAGAGTTGGTGGTTTGAGTCCAAAAAAGTTATTGGGTTAGTGGTGCTTGGGCTCAAGATATGACAATAATATTGGAGCACGTGCCAATTTGGTGACTTTCGACTGTTGTAATCTTTAGACCTTGTGACATTTGATTGCAATTTGTGGTCCTGATGTGTGGTTTTAAGGAGTATATCAAGAGTTTTGAGTGATGAAGTTTGTGATACCTTAATCTCATATCAAAAAGAAATATGATTGTTGAGCTCACTAATTAAGAACTTAAATCAAACACCATAAATAATTTGAGTTTGAACTTTTGATAGATAATAGTTTGAATTTGAAAAAATATTAGATCAGTAGTGCTTGATTTGAAACATTACAATTTAAATTAGCATGACCAAGCTATGAAAGGACCTTGGGACATTACAATTTAAATTAGCATGACCAAGCTATAAAAGGACCTCCTTGCTTGGACTTATTGAGGATCAAGTAGGTTTTGTTATAGCTTGGCAATCATTAAGAATCATGATGATAGTGACAAAAAAAGGGAATTCTTTCTTACACTATCCAGTTAAGTGTTATTGGTTCACTAAATTTATCTGGTGACTATAAACTGACCTAGAATTTGACATTTGAGAGGGATAAATATGTTAGGATAAATATATCATGCTGGAGTTCTTCGTCTAATTTACTCTCATGTCTATACAGGCTTTGTTGCTATCTGAAAGACAGGCAGCAGAAGATGCCAAGAAAGCTTGTTCAGATGCTGAGGCCAAGAATGCAGAGTTGATTAAGAAACTAGAAGATTCAGAACGAAAAGTGGATCAGCTTCAGGAATCTGTGCAAAGGTCTGTAAACCACTATCATACTAGAGCTATTTAAAAATTATTGGTTAACGACGGAAATACAAGTATTTACTGTCAACTAAGTCATCATGAGATTTTCTTCTTTTTCTTTTCTTTTTGAAAAAACAAAAGCTTGTTATTTCTTGTCATTACGCTTCACATGCTTCCTGCTTTGTATAAGTTGCCTTGATTTTGATTGTTCTGCAATGGTAAGTTTTCCAATACCTTATTCCCTTCTTCTTCCTGTCACCTTTATCTCCAAGAAGATGTTTTTCTCTTTTAAATTTCTGGACTCGTTTCAAGTCATTTTATTTATTATACAGGTTAGAAGAGAAACTTTCCAATTCAGAATCAGAGAATCAAGTTCTTCGTCAACAAGCACTGACAATGTCACCAACAGGAAAATCTTTATCTGCACGATCAAAGACAATGATTATTCAGGTATCAATTGAATATGAACTCTTTAAGTCATCACTTTATGATAAGCTAAGATAAAGACAATTTATTTGCAGAGAACACCCGAGAATGGAAATGTTATAAATGGAGATATGAAGGCTGCACCGGTAAGAAGCTCTCACTGGTTTTATATTGTACGAATCTGAAATAGTGACCAAGATTGAGGATATTTACTTTTTATTATTGGTTGCTTCTGATATGTCTTGATTTAACAAGGAAATGACTCTTGCCATATCAAATGCACGCGAACCTGAATCTGAGGAAAAACCACAGAAATCTCTCAATGAAAAGCAGCAGGTAATTTGGACATACCCGAAGAAAGGATTTGTTTCAACTACATGCATCCTTATTTCCTTATTGACATCAATTTTACGTGATACGCCTTTGGATCCTTGAAAAGCAAAATTTATTGACCAAGTACAAATTTCTACCCTGTCTTGCAACTTTCTGTTGTTCAGGAGAACCAGGATCTGTTAATCAAGTGCGTATCACAGAATTTGGGATTCTCTGGAGGCAAGCCAGTGGCTGCTTGCGTGATATACAAATGTCTTCTTCACTGGAGATCATTTGAAGTTGAAAGAACTACTGTTTTTGATCGCATTATTCAGACAATAGCCTCAGCTGTGGAGGTTAGTTCCGGTGTATGACTTTTTAAGGGATTTTTTCATGTATGCTTTCTTGAATGAATCATCAACTCTCATAAGACAAATTTTGCGAACATAGTCATTATGTGGAGAAATATCTACCTGACTGCAGGTCCAGGATAATAATGATGTATTAGCATATTGGTTATCTAATGCATCAACCTTGCTGTTGCTGCTTCAACATACACTCAAAGCAAGTGGAGCAGCTAGTTTGACTCCCCAACGAAGAAGGACAGCATCAGCATCACTTTTTGGGAGAATGTCGCAGGTAGGAAATGACACATTTTCCAAATTCAGATAAATATCATTGTTTTTTTTTCTTTCTATTGTCCTTTTTTTTAAGTTCTTTTCATGCTTTCCCCTTTCCAAATTTTAGGGATTACGAGCATCTCCACAAAGTGCTGGCCTCTCATTTCTTAATGGTAGAGGGCTTAGTAGACTTGATGACTTGAGGCAAGTTGAGGCAAAATATCCAGCATTGCTATTTAAACAGCAGCTTACAGCCTTCCTTGAGAAGATATATGGAATGATAAGAGACAATCTGAAGAAAGAAATCTCGCCTCTTCTTGGATTATGTATACAGGTTGCTGTCTCCATACAGTGGTTACTATTTGTTTAACTTAAGAGGTGCTAATACTTTAAAAGTGGTGGAGCTGAGGATGGGAAGGGGAGAGCATAGAAGGTGATTTGTGTCAGCTGAATATTAATACAAGGGAAAAGAGGATAATCCGTAACTTGATAGTTTCATCTATAGAGGCTCAATAATTAGCTTGAACCTATTTAGAGGGGCTAGCTTAGACATGCGAAAAACCTTGAATGATGTACACAAAAGTGCCAAACCTGCTGTTAAAATTAGTAAATGAGGAGCTGTCACTTAGTTCTACTAGAATAAGGAGTCCCTTTAATTGCTAGAAGCTCTAACTGCAAAAGAAAGGAAAGAGGTATTGTTTTTGTTTAATCCCCTAGTCTCTATCTCCCAAAGAATGCTCATAATAGGTGCTAAAATGTAAGAATTTGTATTGATCTACATTGTTGCATGAGATTTTATTTCTAATCAAACCATCTGCCCATGCAATGAAGGCACCAAGGAAATCACGGGCAAGTATGGTGAAAGGACGTCCACAAGCTAATGCTGTTGCTCAGCAAGCTTTAATTGCTCACTGGCAAAGCATTGTGAAAAGCCTAAACAACTATTTGAAAATAATGAAAGAAAATTATGTAAGTTCTGAAGTTACCAATAAAAAATGTTGGAAATTATAAAATTTGTCAACTATATTCAG